CATCAACCATAATTTATCATCATGATGTCATCAATGCCATCAACATCACCATCATCAGCATCATCAACATCATCAATATCATCATCATTAACAATATCATGAATATTAACATCATCATCATTATCATCACCACCACCAACATTATCATTCATCATCATGCATCATCATGACATCATCATCATCAAGACATCATCATCATCATGACATCATCATCACTGATCATCATCTATCATCATGAACATCATCGTCATCACCATCACCAGCATCATCATCTTCACCATCAAGATCATCACCGTCACCATCATCATCACCATCATTATCAATCATCATTCATTATCATCAACATGATCAACATTATCCTTATCACCATCACTATCGATATCATCAACAATATCACCATCATTATCATCATCATCATCATCATCACCATCAATCACCACTATTATCAAGATCATCAATATCACCACCATCACTGTAACAGAACCTCATGGTTAGAGTTGTGCCCATGTCCCAGGCTATGTTCAAAATGCTTTTAATTTGTTAGCATATTTCATCCTCACAATATCTCCATGAAGTCAATACTACTGTTATCTCCATTTTACAAACAAACAGGTTAAGTACTTGTTCAAACTACACTGGAAGGATTTGACCCCAAGCAGTCTGGCTCCAAAGTCCCTGCTATAAGCATTTGCTAATCTGAATACAGACTGTTCATACCCTCTTCCCAGAGCAGAAATTCCAGACAGACATAACCACCTATAGAAATGCAGTGTGGACAAATGGGTCCATCAAATCTGGGCTCTGATCCCAACTCGGGTAAGACCCCTGTTCTCTTGGGCCTTGACTTCCTCATCTGTAAACCAAGGAAGTGAACAGCTAGATGGCCTCTAAGCTCCCTCAGGCTTCCACTACACACAGCCTGCAGCCCCTCCAGGTTTCACGGAGTGCCCAGAAGCTGACACACGGTCCTATTACAGAAGCCAGTGGGGAATCTGGTGGCCCTTTGGCTGAATACTCCAGCAGTTGCATTGGTTCTGACACTCGATGGCTGTGGATGGGTCCCCTGGGATGAGAAAACCTCAGGCCAGTAGGACAGTGACCACTCAGGCCCCCAGACTCCACACCAGTCCACTTCAGGAAGTGAATGACCCAAAGGCATCTTCCTCTCAGTTTCTAACAGTTATTCTCTGTGCTATTAATATGGCAGGAACTCTGGTGGCATAGTGGTTAAAGCATTCATCTGCTAACCAAAAGGTTGGTGGTTCAAACTCACTAGCCACTCTTTGGGAGAAAGATGAGGCAGTCTGCTCTGTAAAGACTAACAGCCTTAACTCTCTGGTGCAGTTCTACTCTGTCCTCTAGGGGTGCTGTGAGTTGGAATTGACTCAATGGCAGTGGGTCTTTTTTTTTTTTTAATCATTATTATTAATATGGCAACTCAGCAGGTACAAATTCACCACTTATACTCTGCTAACCTGCTACTGAAGAATTCCCACTGACAAATATTTTCCACTGACAAACATGCAGCCCAATCAGACTATAAACTCCTTGAAGGCGGGGACCAGGTGACACTATAACTATCACCTCTTATCTCACTTGGTGATTTTCAAAGGTCTTCACATTCATAATCTCATTTGAGTGTGAAACCACTCTGAGAGACATGGAGACAGATCATCACCACCACCACCACCATCTGTCTGATGGTGGTGATGATGGTGGTCGTCATGGTGGTGGTGGTGGTGACGATCTGTAATGATGGTGATGTTGGGGAGGATGATGACAGTGATGATGGTGATGGTGTGGTGGGGAGGATGATGACTGTTGATGGTGACGGTGATGGTGGTGGTGGTGGTGATGGTGATGATGTTGATGATGGGGATGGTGGTGGTGATGGTGGTGGTGATGGTGTGGTGGGGAGGATGATGACAGTGTTGATGGTGACGGTGATGGTGTGGTGGTGGTGATGGTGGTGGTGATGGTGGTGGTGATGATGATGATGGGGATGGTGGTGGTGGTGGTGGTGGTGATGGTGTGGTGGGGAGGATGATGACAGTGTTGATGGTGACGGTGATGGTGGTGGTGGTGGTGATGGTAATGATGTTGATGATGGGGATGGTGGTGGTGATGGTGTGGTGGTGAGGATGAGGATGGTGATGACAGTGATGGTGACCATGATGGTGTGGTGGTGGTGATGGTGATGATGTTGATGATGGTGATGGTGGTGGTGGTGGTAATGATGGTGATGTTGGTGAGGATGATGGTGGTGGTGATGATGATGGTGATGATGACAGTGGTGATGGTGATGATGATGATGGTGATGGTGATGGTGATGGCGGTGATTCCAGTATATACTGTACACTGAGTGCCCACCATGAGCCATACACCGAGGCTGGCAGACCCTAGGCACACAGCATCTCATTTAATCTCAGGATAGAATGTGGCGGAAAGTATTTTTGGTCCATCTAACCAAAGGAGAAACTGAGGCTTGGGGAGGTCAAACGACCACCCAAACTCTCACTCCAGTCAGAGCAGAGGTGGCTACAGCTTAGTGCCCCTGTGCAAAGACAAGGCCTGTCCCCATCTCCATTCCCATTGGCTAGGGTTCAAATGACACGGCCGTGAGGTATCCCGTGGACTCAGCACTCCACACCCCTATCCTGCCCTCACACTCCCCTCTATGGACCCTACAAGGCACTCATTTACTTTGAACTCCAGTCTAGGCAGGAGAGAGACTAAATATTTTCTGTACACCATGCTGGTGCCAAGCCCTGTCCCAGGCGTGGGAACAAAGCAACACATGGAAAAGGGCTTCTGGAATCGAGGAGCTCAGTGTGAGCTTCCCGGGGGCACAGCTGAGTCTGAAGTCTCACATGGTGGTCTCAATTCTGAGCCCGTGGCAACCTTGGGCCCTAACTAAACAAGCTCCTTATTCAGAGGGAGAGGAAGACGGCTCATTTTGATCCAGGGTCAGGAGTGCTGTAATGGAGGGAAGCCCAGGAGCTTCTGGGGGAAGGCTAGGTACTTAACTCATCCATGTGTATGTTTGTATGCATGTGTGTACAGAGGTGTAAGTGAAGGTATCAAGGAAGGCTTCCTGGAGGAGGCAAACCTAAAGCACGATCAGGTACTAGCCAGTCACAAAGGGAGGGGAAGGAGCTTCAGGCAGGTGGAAGCCCAAGCTGGGGCTCTGGGACACAGGATGTGGATGTGTGGTCAGGACCCAGATACTGCTCAGGGTTTAGGAGGTAAAGGCAGGGTCCAGAGAGAGGCAGGAGAGAGCAGAGGCCCCTTGAGGGCCCTGGTAGTTCTCAAACATAGTCATACACACCCTGCCCTGCGGCCACCCCTCAGGCCAACAGAGGAAAGCTTCCCACTGCCCCGCTTTCTATAGGGTCCCAGCAGGTGACCCAGTCCTGACTTAACACCACAGCCAGGGCACCAGGCCTGCTGGGCAGGACAGAGGGTGCAGAAATGTTTACACACATCCTCACATGTGCCACGTGGAACCACCCAACCAACCCCCAGGCCCTGCCAGTGGCCTGGCCTATGCCAGCCCACCAGGCTTCTTGCTCATGACCTGCTGAATCTGCCCACAGCCTGGCTCCCTTCCAGAGGGTTGCGGGCAGGTGCCAGCTCCCCACTCTGGCCTCTGGACCCCACACAAGGCAAGGGAGGTGGCCAAGGCTGGCATGAGCCAGGACGACGTTGTCTGCCCAGTGCTTGGCTCAAAGTGGAGACTCAGTCAATGAGATGGATAAACAAACGCCAGCATCCCGGGGAGGCCAGCTGCGTTTTCTGTATGACTTTAGCTCCTATAAAGCCATGGACTAGGAGCCGTGGTAGTGCAACAGTAAAGCGCTCAGCTGTTAGCAAAGGCTGGTGGTCCAAACCCACCCAGTGGCTCCTTGGGAGAACAGGCCTGGTGTTCTGCTCCCATAAAGATTACAGCCCAGGAAACCCTATGGGGCAGATCAACTCTGTCCTTTTGAGTTGCTATGAGTCGGAATTGACTAGATGGTGCCCAACAACAATAAACCCTTCTACAGAAAGAACAGGTACCCAACTTGCTCTTACGGACCATTTTCCTAATGCAAGTCTCCCACTTTGAAAAACTCAGCTGGCTTGAGAGAAGGCATCAAGCAGCTGAGAGCTGTGATATGGGACATAAGAGACCTGGGAGTCGGTCCCTGCTCTGCTGTGGTGACACTCAGGGGCCTTGGAGAAGACACTGCACCTCTGCAAGCCTCTTCTATAAAACAGGGACCTACAGGGAAAACCTGGATCAGTGCCACTCACCCAGGGGTGCACGTCAGCCATGGAGAGGCCCGATTCAAGCCCCATGGAGCTGGAACGAGCCCACAGACCCTTGTGAACAAACACACCCAGAAGTGCTGTCCGGCTTAGAGGGTTCTGGCCCCACAGCCAGCTGGGGCTCCTTGTCTGTCCGACTTTCAGCCTGCCAGGGAGGCAGGTTCTAATGCCAGATGGTCAGACAAGGCAAAGAAAGCTGGGTGGACAGATGGATGGACGGCACAAATCCACGTGTCTCTGCCCATGCTCTGGCATTCAAGATGGAAGGCCTGGGATAGCCTCCCAAATGCTGTGACCGGCCATCAGCCAGGTCCCCTGGGGACCTATGGGCTGCACTGGGAGGTTTCGGATTTGAAGTTAGGGACCACAGGGGGAGTCACACCAGACCCTTCCCACCCCCTCTGTCCAGTCAGGGACAGATACACAAATCCTTCATCCAAAGCTTCATCTCAACTTCTTTAAAAATCTCATGCCTTCAAACCCAGGTAAGCTGGGTACCCCATGACTCTTACCTCCCCGCCTCCAGGAAGTAGCTCCTGTTTCCAGGAAGCCTACAGCCCCCTCCCAGGGCTGACAGTGGCTGTGCTGCCGGCCCCCATAGGGCAGGACTTGGTGTCCAAGCAGCCATGGCCACCACAGGACCGGCCCCACTGTCTAGGGAGCAGGGAGGACGGCTCAGCCCGGCTCACCTTCACACTGTCTCCCTTCTCCCTTGTAGCCTGGCTTGCACAGACACTTGTAGGACTTGGGTGTGTTCTGGCAGATGGCATCGATGTGGCAGTCATCCGTGCCCTCCGAGCACTCGTCCACGTCCACTGCCCCTGTGGTGGGAGACAACAGGTGAGGTGTGGCCTCAGAAGTGGGGGGCAAGTGGGGGGACCTTCTCCTGCTGCTTGTCCTTCACTCCTCATGGGGTAACGCACAACAGTAGTCACCTGGGGCAGCCACTGTGCGCCAGGCAGGGGCCACCGATACCCTCGGTCTCACTTATTTTCACAATGCTATTAAGCAGGATGACTAGTCCCACTAATTAAGCACAATTAATCAATTCTGCATGAGCTCATGTGCTCATGTGGATCCTGTACAGGGATAAGAGGGAGTTGTTTGAACAGAACAAGGGGATACTGCATGGTATAAAATCAGGAAGGGTGTGCCTCAGGGTTACATCCTCTCACCATATTTATTCACTCTGTAGGCTGAGGGAATAATCTGAGAAGCTGGACTTTGTGAAGAAGAACACGGCATCAGGATTGGAGGAAGACTCACTAACAACCTGCAATTTGCAGATGACACAACCTTCCTTGCTTGCTGAAAGTGAGGATGACTTGAAGCACTTACTGATGAAGATTAAAGACTACATTCTGCAGGATGGATTACATCTCAACATAAAGAAAACAAAAATCCTCACAACTGGACCAATAAGCAACATCATGATAAATGGAGAAAAGATTGAAGTTGTCAAGGATTTTATTTTACTTAGATCCACAATCAATGCTCATGGAAGTGGCAGTCAGGAAATCAGACAACATATTACTGCATTGGACAAATCTGCTGCAAAAGACAAGGTGCTGAAGAGCAAAGACGTCTTTGAAAACTGAGGTGCACCCGACCCAAGCCATGGTATTTTCAATCACCTCATGTGCATGTGAAAGCTGGACAATGAATAAGGAAGACCATCGAAGAGTTGATACATTTGAATTGTGGTGTTGGCAAAGAATATTGAATATACCATGTGCAAAACAGTATGACCATTGTGGCATATGGTGTGGTGTTTCCTTAAAAAATCTGAAAATAGAAATACCATTTGACCCAGCAATTCCATTACTAGGAATATATCCTAAAGAGGTGAGAGATAGCACATGGACAGACATATGTACACCTATGTTCACTGCAGCACAGTTCACTATAGCAAAGAGATGGAAGCAACCTAAATGCCCGTCAACGGATGAGTGGATAACCAAATTATGGTACATGCACACGATGGAATACTATGCCACATTAAAGAACAATGAGGGATACGCGCATCATCTCACACGTGGATGAACCTGGAGGACATTATGCTGAGTGAAATAAGTCAATCGCAGAAGGACTAGTATTGTATGAGCCCATTACTGTAAAAAGACAAAGGGGTTTGCTTGGGAAAGGGAACTCACTTTGTAAGTTTCCGGGGTGGGGAGGGAAGAGGAGGGATTAATTCCGGGCTAGTTGGAGCCCACACGCTGACGTGGGTAAGGGGAGGGATGTATGGAAAGAGTCTGTGACCACCATGATAACATTAGGAAAAGAGAGGACACTGAATTGTGCACATAGGAGATAGACGACAGAAGCTAATACCAACCAATGTGTCCACAACACTGCATTGCTGTTAACACCAAACACCAGGCTACAAATTAACACATAAACATTTGAGAGGATCACATGGGGGTCAGTGAACAGGAGTACTCTAGACCAAGGATAGATTCAGTGCAGGCTAATCTTGCAGACACCAGTGATACAAAATACCCCCAATCCTTACAGAAACAACAGAAGACAGACATAGAGTAATCCCTCACAGACAGCCAGACACTATGGGAGAGATCCAATAGATCTACTATCTCAGGACCATAGTACTGGGGGACACCAGACTCAATTGGCACAACAAAATACATAAAAGCCTTGTTCCGCATCCTACATTGGTGAGTAACGAATGGGGTCTTAAAAGCTTTCAAGTGGCCACCTAAGATGCAGCTAACGGTTTCCTATAATTGGAAGCAAAGAAGAGCACAAAAACCAAGGGAATTTGGAAGCAATCAGCCCTGGGACACAATGGCCCTCGAGACCAGAAGAACTAGATGGTGCCCGGCCACCAATGCCAACCACTCAGGAAAGGATCACATCTGGAGATCCTGGATGTTGTTGTTGTTGTTGTTTGCCGTCGAGTCAGCCCTGACTCATAGTGACCCTTCCTTGGGTTTCCGAGGCAGTATCACTACAGAAGTAGGATTGCCCAACCTTCCTTCCGAGGAGTGGCTGGTGGGTTTGTTCTGTTCTGGTGAGCAGTCAAGTGCCTTAGGCACTATGCTACCAGAGCTCTGGTAGCTTCAGTAGAGCTACCAGAGTAGATCTATTGAATCTCTCCCATAGTGTCTGGGTGTCTATCCTGGATAGAGTGGGAGAAAAAATGTGGAACAAAATCCAAAAATTCAATAATGACCAGAATTACTGGTCAGATGAGATCTGGTGCAACTCCCAATACCATGGCCCTGGAATACATTCTGGGCCTGGAATAAAACGCACCCCCAGGGGCGGGCTCTCAGCCCAATAGTTAACAAGATGTACACGCAGAACCACTCCACTCAGGATGTCGCACCCACATACTCTATGGTAATACATCCCTTAGAGCAATAGACCACGGGGTACCAGAGGGGCAACAGTCACACGGAGGACATGCAGGACACACAGGAAGGCATAATGATGAGGGACACGGGGGAGGGTTACAGGGCAGGGAGGGGAGGAGACTGGATTAGGGCTGGACATGGCGAATGGGGAATGAAACTAAATGTACATGTAATGTTGAATGTAAAACAAACTCTTAAAAAAATTTTTTTTTTAAAAGAATATACCATGGACTGCCAGAAGAATGTCTTGGAAGAAGTACAGCCAGAATGCTCCTTAAAACTGAGAATGGCCAGACCTGCCCTTGGACGGGTTATCTGCAGGGACCAGTCCCTGGAGAAGGACATGATGTCTGGTCAAGTGGAGGGTCCGTGACAAAGGGAAGACTCTCAAGGAGACATAGTGACACAGTGGCTGCATTGATGGGCTGAAGCATAGCAAGGACTGTGGGGCTGGCCCAGGACCGGGCCGTGGTCCGTCATGTGACACACAGAGTTGTCATGAGTCAGAAGCAACTAGACAGCACCTAACAACGAAAACAATACTCCCACTAAAAAAAGATGAGGAAATTGAGACTCAGGGTCGGGGGAAGAAGGCCTGGTGGTGCACGGCTTAAGCGCTCAGCTGGAAACAGAAAGATTGGGGATTGGGACCCACTCAGCTGCCCCACAGAAGACCTGGCTGTATGTTCCCATCAGAATTACAGCCAAGAAAGGCCCATGGACAGGTCTGCTGGGTCACATGGGGTTGCTATGTGTCAGAAAGGACTTGATGGTGCCCAGTGGCAGCAAGGGTCACAGGGAGGAAAAGCCAGCCGTCTCTCTCTGTGTCTTGCTCTCCCAACAAGCGTCACTCCCACCCGCCTCCACGCTCCTTATTCTAGAATTGAGTACCAGACCAGAGGGGTTGTTGGAGGAATTTGAATCCAGCTCCCTTGGATTATAGTTGGGGAAACGGAGGCTAGGCAGGCACAGTGCGCAAAGGCCCGGCCCGGAAGGCCCGGAAGGCCCGGAAAGTGAGCCGGATGTGGGATGCCCCGTGCCCTAGGCTGTGGAGGGACAGGATTGATAATCCAGCTTCCACACAACCACAGTGGAGCTTCCTAGCAGCAGAATCAAACCCCCAGCTGACCTGACCCAGGCTCTGGGTGCGTCTGACCTCCCGGCCCCTCCTCCTCTGCCTCAGAAGTCTTCAGATCCAACTCCCACACTCAAGTTCATTCTAGACTTCGAGGGCTCTGACATCCCTCATCTCCCATCTGCCAGTACACACACATATATACCACCTTCAGCCTGGAACAGCTGTGGGGCCCGGAAATGCAATACAGGTCCTATACGTCTGTGTGCACACCCCAACACACACATACACACAGCCCACATGGCCAGAGCACCCTCAGGGGCAGCACAGCTGGAACTTCAGCCACAGAAAGTCCAAGTTCATTCCATGGGTGACAAGCGAGGAGACAGAGGACCAGAGAGGGCTCGTTGGTCCACAGCACTTTAGGGGCAGGGCTGGCTCCGACACAGAGTAAACAAGTCCAGGGCTTTACTGTGGGACTTCCAGCTAGCTACCAATAAAACACAGATGGACAACAGACAGACAGACTGACCCAGGAGTACAGCACCAGGGATACCCAGCAGTCACCCAAGGGCAGCCACTCCAGCAGGAACTCAAACCGTCTCCATGTCTTCAAATCTCTGGCCTTGCCCTACAGTGTCCGGTCTCCAGGAATGTCCATGTGGGATGGTGCCCTGGCTGTCATGAGTTCTAAGTCGGGGTGCAGGGCTTCCTAAGAACTCCCACGGGACCCCTTCTCCAGACCCCAAGGCTCCAGGCTGCCTCTCCCTGAAGCACCCAGAGAGAACACAGCAGAAAGCACCTCCAGGCGTGCACACACAAGACAGGATGAATCACCTTCCAGGAGAGTCGTGTCTGCTCCGTTGGGCAGCCCACCCACTTCAGCTGTGGGTGCAGGAGGCCAGAGGTGGCAATTGGGGGCCAGCCACCAGCCAGTAGTAACATGGGGAAGGGGCAAAAGAGGCCCCCCAACCCCCTGCAGGGTGATATTGTCTTAAGGGCAGATGCCAGAGAACATGCTTGTATTGGGCAGGTGGGCTGCAGCAGGTCACAGTTGTGGCCCTTCCCACTTCCCAAGGGTCAGTGTGTAGGAACAAGAGGAGGAAAAGTTGTGAGGTCTCTGGTCTCCCACCCCTCAATCTCCCATCAGGAAGACGTCCTCATGGGGACAGGGCATGGCGGGAGCTGACCAAGGAGCAGGTGGGACACCTCCCAACACACTGGATCAGCGTGTCTTTGTGTCCCCTTGAAAAGGTTAGGGGCTGGGGAGAGGGCAGGGGAGGAGAGAGGCGCCCCAGGCTATGTGTCCCCACAGCGCAGTGGCTGCATGGGACTCCGTCCTGCAAGCAGCCAGCCCTCCCCCCACCAG